TTCGATTAATAAAAAATAATCGATTAATTAAAAAGTCGATTAACTGATAAATCGATTAAAAAAACAGAATGATCGATTATTTTAAATAATCGATTATTCTATTATCTTTGAAATACCGAAAATAATCGATAATTCCAAAATAATCGCCTAATCGAAAATAACCAATTAATTAAGAAGCCGATTCTATGATAAATCGATTTTCCAAAAAATAAAACGAATTATCGATTATTTTCTAATAATCCTTTTTTTCATATTTCCTTTGAAATTGATTATTCGATTATCGAAAATAATTGATTATTAAAAAGCAGGTTAACCAAAATATCGATTATATAAAATAACCGATTATATTCAATCGATTATTTTCATATAATCTTTGAAAAATCGAAAATAATCAAATAATTAAAAAACCGATTAAACGATAAATCGAATATTTTGAATAAATCTACCTTTTTTTTGTATTTCCTTTAAAATCGATTAATACATTATCTTAAAAAAACGAAAATAACTTATTAAAAACAGCGGATAAATCGATTTTCATTAAAAAATATCAGAATTATCGATAAATCGATTATTTTTGTAACCCCTATCCGTCGCTTGCTTTTATCTGAGCATTTAGCTCCAAAATTTAGAGATTCGGATTTTTTGATCCCGTTATCTTTGAAACCGGATTCGATTGTATAATAAATAATAAATATTGCTAAATTTTGGATTTTTTTTAGTAAACGAAAATTTTGTGCGAGTTGTTTAGGGGTTTGTAATGTAACATTTTATTAATGTGACTAAGGGTCGATTCCACCGTTGTATTAAACGAAGTTTAAAATGATATTTTTACATTAACACTGTCATTTTAATCTCCGTTTAACACAACGGTGGAATCGGATCTAACTCCTGTAACTTCAGTATTTTTTTTGCTTATTATACTAGATCATATCGTGCGTTTTACTTTATTTTAAGACTGAAGATTCAAATGTCACTTTCGATTTGACCGCAAATAAGATGAACCTTGAAATTTTAAGTAGGTCATCCTATATTTCATCTAATATTCTTATAAAAATACCTTACAAAAATAAAATTTAGCTAGCAACTATGATTCTTTACCTCTTATTTATCTACCAAAAATGGCTAAAAACTATATTTAGAAAACATTCTTATAAAACTACTTTTTAAATACAAAATTTCGTTAGCAATAATGCCTATTTACTATTTATTTAAATTAAATGTTCAAAATTTTACCCTTTTGTAAATTTATGTAAGTAATATAAAATCTGATTTCTGATGCTTAATATTTATTGAAACCCCTTAATGCGGATCTGAAGTATTCAGCCCAGAGAATCCATGGCGCTTTATGTCAAAACGTTAATAAATATTTACCGCTGAAAACGAATATATTCGTAACATTGGTACTTGTATTATAAGTACATACAATTTTTCAAGATACCTCGTGACATTTTGAACTTGAAATTAGAAACTAGAACACTTTAAATTGCTAAAATACCAACAAATAAATCAAAAAATAGCTGTCAATGGTGATTAAACTCAGGTGGAGGTGATCGCTGAATGGAAAAATCGGAGTAATTCGGGTGGTGTCGTGCAACAATGATTTTTAATTGGAAGCTACGAGTACCTCTACATTTTTATATAATTATTATATTCTTTTGCCGTAAGTTAGTTCAAGCTGGGATATCGCCGTGATTAGATTAATATTGTTAATATACATTAGTATACAGGGTAACGAAAAAGTCTAACAACAAGGTATTATCTTTAAAACTAATGAATATATATTTATGAAATTGTAGGGTGATGAAAGGAACTGTATTTTGTATTTTTTAGAGGACATGCCAAATTTATTTGAGCCAGCATTTAGCGTACCGCTACCTTCTTATTTTCTTTTAAATGACAATATAGTTTGAATATCATATCAGAGAAAAGCTTATTTTTCATCTTTTCAACAAAGTACCACATTACTAATGAAAAGACCCTATAATATTTCAGTTTCATTAATCTACTTTTATTTTTAACTATTTTTATTTCACCACTGGAAGATAGTTAATCTGAAACTAAAAATAGTAATAGGCACTGAAAAAAAAAAAAAAAAATGCCAAGTGTTCAAAAGTAAATTAAGAATATCAAATTTATTTTAAAAAGGGAACGAATTCAGATACTAATGTTGATTGGATATGGTAAAGAAGTAAGTCACCTGTTCAACTATTTAAATCCTTAAAAACCTCTAAGTAGATCTACGATTTAGAGAATAATCAATAAATTTAATAAAACTGATAATGTCTGACAGACCAAAAACTGCAACTAATAAAGATAATTGACAAGGGGGGTAGCCATGTGTGAGTTGAAGTAATTTTAAGGTGAAGCCTATACCCTGTCATAAGTTTATCCAAGAATTTTTCTTTAGTACTTACCACCACCTGTAGAGGCCTTAACTTGACAGGTCTCCTTTCAAAAATGTTAGATTTTTATAAAAAACAGCAATGTTTGCTTAAAACAGGCCTTATCTTTTAATCTGTTTAATGTATGTAATTTGTTTTTGTATCGTCTTGAATATTTTAAAATTTTTAACTGTTTTATCGACTAATATTTGTTTTTCAAATATTTTTAACTTTATAACTTGTAACATTGTTTTGTTTTACAATTTATTTCATCCCCCACGTTTTGATGAAACTTGTTTGTAGTATTCCCTAGTGGATGGAGAGTATGGTGAGTTTTTTCTATTTCTTTACTATTTTATATACTGTGGGCTCAAAGTCAACACACCTTACACCACATATTCTCCTTTCCACTAGGCGAGCCTGAAGATGAAGTGATGTTACTTCGAAACCGGTCGCACTCAATGTTTTGTTGAATAATTAAACATTGGACTTTCCTTGTGAGATATAAAGGACTTTTTCTCCCCCCTTCATCTTAAAATAATAAAGATAAGACTTTAGATATCCAGGGAATTTCTTCAGAAATGATCAACTATTATATTCGGAGCTTCCAAGATATATTGTAGTATTGTCAAGAAACAGATAGCTAACACTTTTCTTTGTTTTAGTTATTACTTTTGTAAGTTAATGTTACTATTCAACAATTATATGTAATATGTATTTGCCAATTTTTTCTTGAATTATATTAGTGATGTGGTACTTTTTTAGTATTATTGAAAAGATAAAAAATAAGAGTTTCTTTGATATATCACTTGTAGTGATGCCGCAAGACGAGAGATTCTCGTCTCTCGTCTCGTCTCGTCTCAAACGAGATGAGACATTTTCTCTCGAAAATAGATTCGAGACGAGAGGAGTGTCATCTCTCGAAGAGAATTTCTCGTTTTTCTCGAGCTCTCTCGGGCTCTCTCGAACAATTTTGTCTTTGCTTATTTGAAATTTTCAATTGCTTTTCGTAACTTAAAATTTTAACATATTAGATATCGAGATAGTCAAAAAGTTAACTATAACACACCTATTCTATAGATATTTAATGGTAACAAATGATACTTGTATTATTAGGATTTTATAAATAGTGATTTATAAGAAAAAATATTTCTTATTTCATTTATTTAAAATTTATACAATCATTTCTTATATTTAATCCATTCTGCTTTTCTGAGGTTACTTTTGAAGATAAGTTGAAATGTATAAGCGTTTTTTCGAAAAACTGACAAAGAAAAGGTAATACAAACGAATGTATTATATACAGTAAGGACAAAAATTGTACCCTCCTCTATTTTAACTTCTAAATGAAAAAAGATAATGACAAACCAAAAACGAGGTATAAGATATAATATATTTTTGTTATAACGAGATGCACTTTACTTGAGACACGTAAGATAGAGGGAGTTACTAGCTTTAAATTTTCTAATGGAAAGTAGGGTCATGTAATACCTCATTTGAGAGATATTTTCTATATTTTTACGTTCATGTAAACAGATTTAGGTTTTTATGATTTTACAGAAATTACATTAAATAAATTCATAAAGTAGGTTTATTTCTTTTTTTTTTTTTTTCATTTACCGCTTCAACCTCAAAGGATCATTACCGGAGGTATCATACCTTATAAATGCTGTTTTTCACAATAGTATACAATGAATAATTATCATTTTGGCTAGTAAAGAGTAAATGTAAATAATTTTTTACTGTTAGAGGGATTTAACACTGCACAAATGGCAATTTTTTGTAGCTGGTACCTTGTTCTTATACAGACATGTTCTGGGCCTTTACTAATGAGTCACATTCTTGATAACTCTCGTATTAACAATTCTTGTTTATTACTAAGGAAACGCTTCTTGTATTTACTAAAATAAATAAATTAAGAATATCAAAGATGTTCTAAAAAAATACTTGACGTATTAAATTTTTCATAACTTCTTGACAAAAAAAAGCTTATTAAAAAATTATCATCTAACATTTCTAGGATTATTGCGGCATACGAGGATTATCAAGAATGTCATTTTTGTAAAAACAAAAAAAAATTAAAATTGTCTGCTTGGACGTAAATATAATTAAAATATCTTTCAAATGAGATATTACATGACTTTACTTTCTATTAGAAAATTTAAAGATAGTAACGCCGTCTATTTTGCATCTCAAGTAAAGTGAGTAGAAGTATATGGCCTGGAAAAAACTACTCGGACTGGGCAGAATAACTACCATCGGTAGAATCCCATTAAATGGTAACTATCCACTGAGAGACTGGCTATCCCTAGATATCTCATGGTGAGGATTCACAATGGGTCTAGTGAGGTATAAGTGCTGCGGGAGCAGATCCAGATCGAAACGCGTAGAGCTAGTGACTTTATCTTGTTAGTTTTATTATCGTATTTAAAAAAATTAATTACTTATTTGATTTGTACAAATATTTTACCACTAAAATTCCTACCAATTTCAGAAATCGAAGTTTACAAAAAATTCTTATTTGTTCGACAACTTAGTTACTATTGTTTTTTGCCACCGAATAGAAAAAGGAACGCTATATATAAAGCAGAATAAAAAGTTTACTTTCTTTGAACTTACCAATGTTTGTCAGCTCTGGATCCAATATCGTCAAGCTGAGTCTTTAGATCATATCTTTCGTTGTTTTCGAGATTATTTCTGCACGTGACGAAGGCCCCGTTACGGATTTGCCTTTCAGCTTTCAATTTTTCATTTCCACCGTCTGTTTTCAAAGCGCTGTATTCGTGCTTTTGAAGACTACTCTGGTTTCTGAAACATTAAAATTATATTAGACGCATAACATGGAATCAAAATATCTTTTCCTACTATTTCTTTCAAAAGTTATGTCTACGTAGTTTTGTAAACGTAACCTCTGTCAGTACAACGCGTGTGTAATTTCACATTAAATTAAAACTCAACTAGTGACACGCCCAAACTTCGCACGAAAACAATTTTGTGTTATTTTTTTAGTTGATTGTGACCCAATACGACCATTTAAAAATACTTAATTAAAAACGACGATATCTGGTGAAGTTACACGGAGAAAAATTTGTCTCAAGAATGCGCATTTCAAATTCAGCATGACTCTAATTCTTAATATTCTTTATTTGAATCTTGACATTCTTAAATTAACATTGCCATGTTCAATTTTTAAATCAAAAGCTATAAAAAGGCACCAACGTTGTTATTTTCAGAAATAATCAACGTTTTTTTTTTTAAATTTGTACCTAAAAATATCCTAAATAAAGATTGTGGCATGCTTGGCTCAAAAACAAGCCCGAAAATGCGTATTTTTTGCTTAAAATGAGCATGAATTTCTCTCTGTGTAGATATTTTATAGAAAAAATAATTTATAGTCCAAACAATAAAGGGGTTATAGAGGAAATGGAAGAGAGAATTTAGTCAGTACTTATAAAAAAACTAGAAGTACTCCAACATGGCTATGTTATGGGCTGTCAGATAGATTGCGATCTAAAATATATTGCCGCGTTTAGGGTTTTTTATGGTTTACTAAACGAGCTGAAGGGTTAACTGTAGCTAGATGGTAGAACTTTTAATAAAACATAATATTAATTAAACTTATTTATTTACTAAATAAAGTATTAATGTAGAAAAACAATCTTTATTGATTAATAGTAAATATAAAAATTATACATTAACTAGGTACTCGCCGTTCTGAGAGGGATCGTGTCGCTTTTCAAAACCAAGTAATAATAATAATAATAATAACGGATCTTTATTTGCACAAAATAATTACATTTTTGTACAGTTAGCATGGGCGAGGTTTAGCCTGTGGCTATTCTTACACCCAACCCTAACAAAACATATACATTTAAATAACTATAATATTAAAAGTTTATCAATACAATTTGACATTAGTAGCTCATTATATCTACCAGTTTACATTTGACTAATAAAGAGTTGCCTTTTTAAAGCATTTTTAAAAACAGGTAGAGATCGTGATGTTTTAATATCGGTATGTAAAGTGTTGTACAGAACAACCGCGTTATACGAAAATCTACGATTATAAATAGCACTAGAGTGACGAGGCATTGATAAATTAAAATTGTTTCTTATGTTTACATTGTGCGTAGACGATCTAAAAGTTAATTTGCTCATAAGATATAATGGTGACGCAGTAGAAAGTATTTTAAAAAGAAAAGAAAGGAACATAAATATATATAAATTATTAACAGTTAGCCAGCCAGTTTGGGAGAAGGCTTGGGAAATATGATCGAATTTTCTAAGTCCTTTTGCGAATCTGCAGCATGTATTTTGCATAATTTGCAAACGGTTACGATCAGCAGCTGTTAAACAAGGATAATACACAACAATTCCATATAATATTTTTGAAATTACAAGGCTTTGGCAAAGTTTTAGTTTTATAGATTGGTTCTGTAGGATGTGTTTATTAGAATAAAGCAAGCGAAGACCACTATAACACTTTTGTAACACATAGTTGACATGTTGACTGAACCTCATTTGATCGTCAAAGTATAACCCTAAATTTATAGACTCAGTTTCATGTGGAATAGATTCACCAGATATCATCAGAGTTGTATTGTTCTTTATATATTGTCTAATATTTTTACTACAGAATAATAATAGTTTGGATTTCGAAGCATTAATGTGAAGGTTATGATCAGACGAATAGTTATCAATTTTTTTAAGATCTTGATTAATCTTAGCAACTGCAGTAATGACTTCATTCGGCGAAAAATCGAGGAACAGCTGAGTGTCATCAGCAAAAAATTGGACTGCACAATTATTTACGTGTTTGTAGAAATCCGAAGTATAGAGTAAGAAAATCAGGGGCCCTAGGACTGAACCTTGTGGTACATCAGATTTGATTTGAATGGATGTTGATTTCTGACCGTTTACTGTAACTAACTGTGATCGTTTACTTAAGTATGTTTTTATGAAACCTAATGAAATTCTATCAAATCCATAATATTGACACTTGGATATAAGAAGACTATGATTAATGGTGTCAAACGCTTTGCTAAAATCTAGTAGAATCAGGACACCTGCTTTTTTCTTATCAATAGTATTGAAAATATTGTCACTTAAATGTGCCAAAGCTGTTGAAGTACTGAAACCCTTTTGAAAACCCGACTGATGCAAAGGGATTATATTATTTTCACAAAGATATTCGTATATTTGGAAATAGGCTGCACGTTCAAGAATTTTTGAAATTAGAGGCAGTAGACTTATTGGACGCAGTTCATTGTATGAACTAGGATTGTGCTTTTTAGGTAAGGGTATTATCAAAGCTTGTCTCCAACATTCTGGGAAATATCCTTGTTCTAAACATAAGTTTATAATATGTAGCAGATAAACATCAACAATATTTAGACACAATTTTAACATTGACATGCTTATATTGTCATTACCACCAGCATTTGATTTTATATTCAAAATGATAGTGTAGAGTTGAGATAGTGTTATTGTTTTGAAGTGAAATTTAATATCTCTACTAAAGGAGTTACTTCTATAAAATAAAATTGAATCCAAGCATCTTTAATTACTGTCTTGGAACACAGAGGAAAAATATTCATTAATTTTAAAAGGATTGGAAAGTGAGGAAGGTAAATCGATATTTTTTGTCGATTGAATTTTCATTTGTTTTAGCGCTTTGTAAAATTTAAAAGATGACTGGTTGTTTAAAAATTCTAGATACGCAGATTTTTCTCGTCTCAAGGATGCTAAAGCAAAGTTGCGAAGTCTTTTGTAATTGTTCCAGTTTTCAGTGGATTTATTTAATTTAATTTTTTTTAGGGCAGTATCTCGTTATTTAAATATGAGTTTTAATGTAGGAGTAAACCAAGGTGCTTTAGGTTTACTTATTCTAGCTGTTCGAAAAGGAGCGTGTTCATCGAAAATTGTACATATTCATCTGTTAAATAGCGTACCTTACTTTCAATATCATTAAGATACAGAAGGTTATCCCAATGAATACTGCGTAGGCATTGCTCAAAAACTGAAGAATCAAAGTTCTGATAATCTCTATAAGTTAAAAATCTATGTTTCTGATAACTATAATCAATTAATAAATCGCAATATACCATTTGGTGATCGGTGAAATGATCAACATTTATAGTACCATGGCTTGTGCAATTATTGTAACAGTTTAAAAAAATTGGTTCTATTAATGTAGAAGAATTAAAATTTTATCACAACTTGTAAGTATGATTGGTAAAATGTTATCTAAACAATGTATAGCTTGATTTAAATTTTCCCGCGGTGGTCTGTACAACACTCCAACACAGAAAGTATCATTATTAATTTTAAAATTAATCTATAAATGCTCTAAACAAGAATTAAAATAATTATTATGAAAATCTATGATTTTGAAACTCAAAGAAGACCTAATGTAGATGCCAACCCCTCCGCCATGGCGATTGCGATCATTACGAACAAACGAATATCCCCGAATATTTACATCGGAATCAGAGACATCAGATGACAACCAGGTTTCCGAAACCGCCATAACATCAAATTCATAATTATTTATGATATTTATCAAATCAGTGATACTAGTTAGTAGTGATCGCGTATTTACATGGCCAATGCGTAATTCACATTTACTAATTTTTTTCTTAACCATAATTAATTTTAGATTAAATTAGATTTAAATAATTTATAAATACGGGACAAGTTTTATCATCAGCGGAATGACCAGCATCAAATTTCGTTTTAAATTTAATGTTATGAGTGACACAATTGATACATTTTTTTAAAGTAGAACTACATGTTCCAGGGTTGTGCTCTTCTGAACATACCCCACATTTTTGTACAAAATTACAATTTTTTTCTATGTGACCAAAAGACAAGCATTTTTGCACTTCAAAATTCTGATATGATCGCTAAAATAACATTTTTTCCATCCGATATATAAAAAGCCTTTTGTAAAAATGAAATTTCTTAAAGAAGGTGTTAGTTCTAAAACTAGATTTATATTATTATAAAATTTTAGTTTTGTGACAATTTTTAATTCAGTTTGACTAAAGTCTTCTAAATCATTTAATGAAAAAATTTCATTTATGATGTCTTCATCTTTATGAGAGTCTTGGAGATCCACATCTTTTAAAACAATACGAGGATTAAATTTTTCTACTGGTTCTGCGGAATATTTAGAACCAAAGATATTAAGAACAGTGATTATTTATTTCTAATATTTAATAAAAAAAAATTCGGATTTATACACTTTTGCTTGATCAGTTAATTTGTTGAACCGAGTTTACTGCTGTCTTTGCAAGTTCAACGAATTTCCATAAAAGTATCAATTAATTAAGAAACCTGAATTTATACTTCTTCTTTAGAAATTTTATCTTTAAATAAACTAAACATGAATGTGAAAAATAAAAATATTAATTTAATTTTATGAGATAAATATTTTTCACTAAATGAATAATTATTTATTTTACCTATAGTACATGAACCCTAAATATATTTGACAATATATTGCGCCCCTTTCTGTCGCCAGGCCGACCCCAGGGTAGGGCGATCCGGGCGGCCGCCCGGAGCGCAATGATCTAGGGGCGCCAAAATCATGGAAAATGAAAATAAACTGATAAAAAGTTACAGGCTTTTATAAAATGCACTAAAAAGTAAAGAATATTTTTGTATCATTCTAATATCATATCAATAAATTATTTTGTATTGTCATCGGACCAAATTTCATTGAAATCGGTTCACGGGAATTTTCTCAAAAAGGCGTTGGAAGATTTGACTGATAGTTGACAAGATTAAGAGGCGGCAAGCGGAAT